TTCACTCCCCCATTCTTGGACTGTCTGGGAGCTGAAACAGCCCAGGTGTAGTTTAGAACAATCTTTGGGCTGCTCCAAACTATGCTAGCTGCAGTAGTCCTTCAGGAAGCATTTTGCCAGCCGGCGTTCAGTGGATCACAGTGCACTGCTCCTCTATGCTCCCCATCCCTGCCCCTAATTCTCCCTCTATGTGGAGGGAGGAGCAGATGGCATGGAGCCATCTATACTGGCTTTTCATCACCTGAGGATCCCCCTGTCAGGGGAATTCTTGTCTGTGACTTTACAACTGCTTCACGCAGCTAAGCAGCCACAGTTGGGGGTTGAGAATCTCTTACATTTATTCATTAAAATTCCTTTCCCTGCTCCAGAATCTATACTCATCTTTTCATTTGAGAATCTGCTTCATTGCCTTTCATTTAGTGCCATACGGTAGTACCTCGCATATCAGGCAAGAACCTTCATCCAAAGAATGATCAGCATCAATCACATGGCCAACTTTTTCAAGAATGACTGGGAAAGAGAGGATTTGTAGGTTTATTTAATGGGATCACTCCGTTTTATTATACTTGATATTTGATTTTTGATAAATCACTATTGATGGGGGAAGGGGAGGGGAGAGGCATTTTTAAGATTTGAGCTTTGAGTCATCTTTCCCAGGCTAATTGTCAAGTAACTGGCAGATCAGTCATGGCTGACAAGTGAGTAATTGGGAGAAGGAAGGGAGTGCAGCAGGTGTTTGGTACTAATTTGGTAAAACAAAAAGAATTGAGTACTGAGTGTGGCATGAGACTCACTCTCACATTCATGACGTTACATGCTTTTAATACAAAATGTGTGCATGATTTTACAATACTTGGAGCATTAAGTATTACTCAGCTTCTTTAAAGGATCTTATGTTTATTTTAGAGAGGAACGGCAAATCTTTTTATACAAGACATGTTTGAGCTCCCTAACCATTAATAGAACACAGGTACAGGCTTCAAACTGAGAAGTATGGGCTGGAAATACTCCTGGGTGAGGAGGAAAATTGCTCTGTTGGGCTGGGAGATCCACCCTCTATGGAATGACCCAATGTGGTGCCCCAAAACTGCCTGGAATCCAGGGCCATCCACAGAGAGGCCCATGTATCTCCACCAACATCATCCTGGCAGGATCTCCCATGCCCACAGCTGACCTGAGTCCCCTGAACGGAGAGGGCCTGCAGTTTGCTGTGTAGTTGTAGCTGTGATGGTCCCAGGATATCAGAGAGACAAGGTGGGTGAGGTAAGATCTTTCATTGGACCAATTTCAGTTGGTGAGAGAGACAAGCTTTTAAGCTTACATAGAGCTCTTCTTCAGGTCTGGATCTAGGTTATCTTTATTTTTAAACTTGTCTCCACAGGGCTAGAAGGAGAGACAATGACCTGTCCTCAGATCTGACCAGTTTTTGCCTAATGGGCCCCGCTATTGGCCCATTCCTACCTCAGGTACTCTCTGAAGGGATGGTGCCATGGAACACCTGGCCCTCATATTCCATGCAGGAGGGGTGAGGTCCACACATGGATGGAGGGCCCCAAGGCTCAGAGAGGCACAGTCTAGGACTCCGCTTGAATTTTTTAAAATACAGAATTTGAAATTTGCTTCCCTGCCAAATTCTCTTCTGTGAGTTCTGTGTCCTCTCCCTCCCGCTCCCCTCCGCGCCCCCTCCCACCCCCATCTTAGCTTCATTGCAGCCCTTAACGAGTGACCCAAGGGCGTTTTTGATGGCTGTAATGGCATTAACTACAACAGGGCAAACAAAGAATTCTGTTCACAGGTACAGTTCTGCTCCGAAGGGACTGTACAAAGAGCTTCCATAGGGTCCATGTTGATTGGCTGGTAATGATTTTGGTATCCAAAATGCTCCATTTAAAAGTAAAAAGGTTTCCCCCCCCTCCCTCCCGAGAGCCCTGAAAATTCACCTGGGGATTCAAAGTAAGGCTGAGGGCTTTTTCCCTGCACCCTGCAACATTACAAAGAATAAGAAGTCCACAGGCCTAATTCTGCACTCCCTTAAACCTGTACAACTCCATTGTCTTCAAATTCTACCTTCATTTACGCCTGTGGAAACCCTCAGTGAATTACCTGGGGCAGTATATGGCCCTGCAACAGAACCTTAGTTAACAATCCTGTGGCTGAGGCATGGGCCACCACAGAATCCAGTTCACTGTCCCATAGTGACAGGGAGTGGAAAGCAGTCAAAATGTATCTCTCTCTCTAAGTTCAGCGGATCCACCTCTAAATATATCACGGTAGCAAATCAGCCAAGTAAGAAATTACCATTCTTACCACTTTTACCAGTTGCCACTTATCAGGGTAGAACCACGGATTAAAGGAGAAACTACTTTTCAAAGTATTTTATTAATATTGAAGGGTCATATGCTCCCCTATAATTGAAGGGGCTCACCCCACAACATGGTAAGCCTGTCTGCCAGGAGCCAAGCACTCTCAAATCCTATTGATTGTAAAAAGAACAGGAGTACTTGTGGCACCTTAGAGACTAACAAATTTATTAGAGCATAAGCTTTCGTGGGCTACAACCCACTTCTTCGGATGCATATTGAGTGAAACATATCGAGGAGATATATATACACACATACAGAGAGCATGAACAGGTGGGAGTTGTCTTACCAACTCTGAGAGGCCAATTAAGTAAGAGAAAAAAAACTTTTGAAGTGATAATCAAGGTAACCAAGTACAGACAGTTTGATAAGAAGCAAGTGTGAGAATACTTACAAGGGGAGATAGATTCAATGTTTGTAATGGCTCAGCCATTCCCAATCCCTATTTAGCCCTGAGTTGATTGTGTCTAGTTTGCATATCAATTCCAGCTCAGCAGTCTCTCGTTGGAGTCTGTTTTTGAAGTTTTTCTGTTTTAAGATAGCCACCCGCAGGTCTGTCATAGAATGGCCAGACAGGTTAAAGTGTTCTCCCACTGGTTTTTGAGTATTATGATTCCTGATGTCAGATTTGTGTCCATTAATTCTTTTGCGTAGAGACTGTCCGGTTTGGCCAATGTACATGGCAGAGGGGCATTGCTGGCACATGATGGCATATATCACATTGGTAGATGTACAGGTGAACGAGCCCCTGATGGTATGGCTGATGTGATTAGGCCCTATGATGGTGTCACTTGAATAGATATGTGGACAGAGTTGGCATCGGGCTTTGTTACAAGGATAGGTTCCTGGGTCAGTGTTTTTGTTCAGTGATGTGTGGTTGCTGGTGAGTATTTGCTTTAGGTTGGGGGGTTGTCTGTAAGCAAGGACAGGTCTGTCTCCCAAGATCTGTGAGAGTAAAGGATCATCTTTCAGGATAGGTTGTAGATCTCTAATGATGCGCTGGAGAGGTTTTAGTTGGGGGCTGAAGGTGACAGCTAGTGGTGTTCTGTTATTTTCTTTGTTGGCCCTGTCTTGTAGGAGGTGACTTCTGGGTACTCGTCTGGCTCTGTCAATCTGTTTTTTCACTTCAGCAGGTGGGTATTGTAGTTTTAAGAATGCTTGATAGAGATCTTGTAGGTGCTTGTCTCTATCTGAGGGATTGGAGCAAATGCGGTTATATCTTAGAGCTTGGCTGTAGACAATGGATCGTGTGGTGTGTCCTGGATGGAAGCTGGAGGCATGTAGGTAAGTGTAGCGGTCAGTAGGTTTCCGGTACAGGGTGGTATTTATGTGACCATCGCTTATTAGCACAGTAGTGTCCAGGAAATGGACCGCTTGTGTGGATTGATCTAGGCTGAGGTTGATGATTGTAAGGCACTTAGCCCGTAAATCAGTGTGGAAAGGAGGTGAGACATGTCCCACAATAAGGCTGCATGAATAAAAGCAAAAATGCCCCATAGAATCCCATTTAAAGAACATGCTATACACACAACCTTGTGTGCAAGGGCACAGAGGATGAAACAGCGAGTAAGTAGCTTTGTAAATGTACTGAGCCAAATCCTCAGCAGGTGTAAATCAGAAAGACAATGCAGCGACACTTTTTTTTACACACCCTGAGTATCTGATCCACTAACTAAGTGAAAGTCCCCAGCACTGGCTCATCCCCCAAAGGGTCCTGGTGTGGCAACACCATTCTCAGCTGTGTGGAGAGATATTTCCCACTGGTTCACTGGACACCACCATTTAGTTACTTATCTAGCATTATCACCGTGGCAACCTCCACCTGTAGGAATTGTGTAGCTCAGGGATGCTTCATTTGACCTTTCAACAGCTGCTGCCATGCTCGATTCCATGTGCCTCACTCAGGGCAATGCTGTTTTGCCAACATTTTCTATTCACCCAGGGGCATGTAATACGGGGGGGGGGGGGGTTGTGTGCCTGTCATGTCCCCTTTTAGCAAGAAGTTTGGGAGGAAACTTCCTGGTCTAAAAGTGCCAGCTTGCTTTGGTTTGTAATGTCCCTATTTGGTGGGGATGTTTTCCTCTTTGTTTCTGGAATCCCCCTAACGCACACACCATACGATTTACAAGAACATAAATGAGCAGCTGCACTTCTTCAAACGGTGCCTCCTTCCTGTATCTTGAGCCTTACTAAAAGGTAAAACAGCTCCTCCACGCCTCGTGTGCAGTTGCGTGCGTGTGTGAGTGCATTACTTTCTTTCACTACTATGACAGCACATGCTCCCGCAAAGCCGTTCAAGGCATTAGAAATACAACTCCTCCCTCCAGTGCCCCATGTGTGTGAGCCGCTCAGGCTTTCTGCTTCAGCTCACTCCCATTTGATCACTGGGCTGACAGTCACGACTCTCTGTTCTACACCTCCAGGCTTCACTCTGAGGGAAGAAGGAGCAAGAAAAACACAGAAGCAGACACACAACTGACCCACAGAACCATCAATAACTTACTTCCCTTGCAGCAGAATTACAGTGGGAGGGGAAGGGAGGGAGGAAGAGGAGAAGAAAAAGAAAATCCAGAGAATTCTAGCCTTCACATATAGCCAAACTGAGAATGAGAGGAGTGTGTTTGCTCTGCAGGAACGGAGAAGAAAGAGCAAATTAAATAAACAAAAGCAGGAGAGAACTGGAGCTCTCCTCCCGATAGCAACAGTATTATTTTAGAGGTAAAATGATTCCTCCAAGCAACACTACTGAAGTCAGTGTGGATAATGTGGAGAAAGAAAATGAACTGGAGAACACAGATCAACCCCCCTCTCCAGCATCTACTACCAGCCAGGAATCAAAGGTATTTAATCCATTTGGTATATTAAAAAAAGCAAATTTTACTCTGTGCTGGAGGTATATTTTTTTTACGTTGAAATTCTGAACGAGGATTTAAAATAGTGATTTATTATTGTTATGGCTTATAATGCTCTAACCCTATTACAGGTTTATAATGGCCAGACTTCAGAACTCTTGCCATTCATCTGGGTGACCCCTAGAGTTTGAATTGAGGGGGAGAAATGGTTTTGAGATTTCTTATTCTTAAGGAGGAGGGGGAATCACTCCCTTTCAATAGACTTTTTAATACTTGGCATGAGAATAGGTCCAAGGTTTTTCACTTGTTCATGGCTGGAATGACTGAATGTGTTGCAGGTTCAGGAAACAGTCATGGGTTATTTCCTGACAGATGCTTCAGGGAACTTGGGCATTCCCTTTTAAATACATCAGTATTTGAAATAGGGCCTGAGTGGTCATTCTGGTGCAAGAATTCCTACCCATAAGAAAACTCATAAGAGAGGATTTTCTTTCCCCAGCCTCTTTTTAATTATCTGGCTCAACTTACCTTGCTAAAAAAAAAAACAGCCACTCATCTCTAATTTCTGTGCTCTTAAATGTTTCATGGATGTACTTGCGAAAAGTTTCTGGCTCGATCTGTGTATAATTAGGAAGAGAAAAGTATATGAAACAAAGCAGATTTCCAAATGGTGCTTTTCTGCACCATTTATCTCACAATTTATGTTTTTATTGGTATTGCAGTTGTGCCTGGGAGCCTCAGGCATGGCCTCATTGTGCTAGGCGCTGTACAAAAACATCACAAGAAGATGGTCTCTGACCCTAACTGCTTATGTCCGGATAGATATTTAGAAACCACAGGACCTAATGGCAGTTTAGCTCAGGGGTGGGCAAATGTTTTGGCCCAAGGGCCACATCTGGGTATGGAAATTGTATGGCGGGGCATGAATGCTCACGAAATTGGGGGTTGGGGTATGAGAGGAGGTGAGGGCTCCAGCTGGGGGTGAAAGGCTCTGGGGTGGAGCCAGAAATGAGGAGTTCAGGGCATGGGAGGGGGGATCCGGGCTGGGGCAGGGGGTTGGGGTGCAGATGGGGGTGCGACTCCAGCTAGGAGTGTGGGCTCTGGGATGGGGCTGGGAATGACAGGTTGGGGGTGCAGGAGGGTGCTCCAGGCTGGGATCGAGGGGTTCAGAGGGCAGGAGGGGGATCAGGGCTGGGGCAGGGCGTTGGGACGCAGGAGGAGGTCAGGCTCCGGTTGGTGCTTATCTCAAGCAGCTCCTGGAAGCAGTGGCATGTCCCCCCTCCGGCTCCTACATGGAGGTGCGGCTAGGCTGCTCCCATTGGCCACAGTTCCTGGCCAATGGGAGCTGTGGAGGCAGAGCTTGGGGCGGGGGCAGCATGTGGAGCCCCCTGGCTGCCCCTATGTGTCGGAGCCGGAGGGGGGACATGCTGCTGCTTCCAGGAGCTGCACGGAGCCACAGCACACACAGAGCAGGGCAAGCCCCCGACCCCGCTCCCTGGCGGGAGCTCGAGGGCCAGATTAAAACATCTGAAAGGCTGGATGCGGCCTCCGGGCTGTAGTTTGCCCACTCCTGGTTTAGCTGATAAGGGGCACATTGTATCTGGATTTAAGTCAAATGGCTGCTTTAGCCCACAGTATACATATATTCTAGTATATCACAGAATTCCACAATAATGACCTAAGCACTGTAGTAACAGTATAATAAGCCGCAGTTCTTTCACAGGTACCAGCTTCCTCCGGGCCCTGGGGATGCTCAACCGTCTGCTCCACACCAGGCTCTGCCCCCACCCCTCCCCCCAAACCCTCATCCCCACCTCTTCCCATCCATGTTCTGTCCCCACTTCACCCCCACCCTGCCTCTTCCCACCCAGTTCCACCTCCTCCCCTGAGCGCTCTCCATCCCCGCTCCTCCCCCTCCCTCCCAGTGCCTCCTGTACGCCGCAGAACAGCTGATTGTGGTGGGTGGGAGGTGCTGGGTGGGAGGGGGAGGAGTTGATCGGTGGGGCACCGGTGAACGGGAGGCGCCGGGGGGCTGGCTGCTGATGGGTGCTAAGCACCCACTATTTTTTTCCGTGGGTGCACCCATAGAGTCAGCACCTATGCTTTAGGCCATGCTGAGAGTGTTCTTTGGTACCACAAGGAAGAGAATTAGAGAATTCTTTAAGTAAAGGCGCACCTTTATATTTAAAAGAAAAAACCCTGCACCATCAATATTCTGCAATAATGACTCAATACTATTGTGAACTGTAGGGCTTTGGGACATCACTGTAGAACACAAACACATTTTTAGAGGAGATGAAAAAAGAGACAGTTATTCACTGAGGGCCCAGCTCCACCAGGACCTACCTGGTAGGTATTGAGCAACCTTGTCTCCCAGAGAAGTCCGTGGGAATTGAAAGTGCCTCACAGGAGACACTCAGCACTCTACCCCATGGACAGATGAGATGCATGAAGGTGAGGTGCATAAACGTGTGTGCTGGGCCATGGCTCCTTGTGCTGTATGATACTGTCCTCAGGCAGGGCCAAGCAAAAAGTTATAAAACTTTAGGTTCCATTCATCTAATCAGACGTTGCTACTACTGTGTGCATGAAGTGCGTCTTGGATAAGTTAAAAATGCTTTCTGCACAACAAAAATGGACTAATTTTAATCCTACAATCAGATCAAGCAAAATATTACCTGTAAAATTATTCGTCTCCTGGTCATACATCCATACTACTCCCAGTAATGCCAATGGGAGTTAGGCTCATCTGGCAAGAGGTCATGATACTGCTAAATGACTTATAGTCGAACAATAATTATTAGCTTTGCCAGTCTCACACCACATATGAACAAGCAAAAGGCCTGGATGTCTGTGCAGTTTTGATCAGTCAATGCTATTATTTGCATATAAAAACTTCAACACATGTAATGTGTATATTTATGTTTTGAGTATTTATTTTATATGCAATCAGAAAGGACATTGTATTCTCCATTGTATAGAAAAAGCCACTTTAAAGATGAACAGGGAGCTCTTCAGCAATATAAAAACTTCTGAGGAATAAAGACTCATGGGGCCATATTTCAGAAAGCTGGCTTGAAATGTGCATACTCAAACTGTTGTATTCAAAAAGAAGATAGCCAAGCAATACTGCAATACCTGACTAGCATGTTTTTGAGATGCACAATTTCAGGTTATCAGAAAAGCAGCTGAAATTTGGAGGGATCTAGCAGGCAGGAAGTGAGTGGTTGGTGAAAATCTAACTTTGTTGCCATGCAATTTTGTGCAAGTGTCTTCAAAGATGTTTATCGGGCATTTCTAATTGGACAGCCTCTCATAATTGAATCACATTCCTTATATGGAAGTATATCCCACTTAATAGTAAACTGCAATGCCATGTAAAAATATCAAGTACTCCTCACAAACCCTGCATTGGCTGAGTAAGTATTGTGAACTCCATTTTACAGATGAGGAAACTGATACACAGAAAGGATAAATACAAGATTCTGATACCCTCACTCATACTGACTAGCACCTTAATGATTGGTTTCAGTGGAACTGCTCACAGAGTAAGGTACAATTCAGCATGGGTAAGTGTATTTGAATCAAACCCTAAATGATATGTTCAAGGACACCCAGCTGGAGATGCATTTAAATGAGGTCTGAATGTTGCCCAGAAAATTCAGGAGAATCTAACTCCCAGCACCACACTCAGGCCACGTCTACACTATGGGGACTATAGAGGCATAGCTATGGCATCGTATAACCCCATACTGCAGATGCAGTTTACACTGACGGACAGGGTTTTTCTGTTGGTATAAGAACACCACCATCGCGAGCAATGGTAGCTAGGTCAATGCAAATATTCTTCCATTGATTTTGCTGCATCTACACCTGTTGGATCCATTGATTTAGCTGCATTTACACCTGCTGGATTTTTCACACCCCCTAAGCAGTGTAGCAATGTCAACCTAAATTTTAAATGTAGATCAAGCCTCATTCCTCTCAACCATGCTGTCAATGATCCTTTACGCTTTGGGTCATTGCGTTTGAATACATGAAACATTGTATAGCCCCTAATATAAACCAAAAAACATATGCATAGAACATACGACTTTATGTTAAGGAATTTCGTAATATGTTTGCTTTACTCTATATAAACACAAGTTTTCAGATTATCTGCCCTTAATTTAATGAATGAGCTACCTGAGGGAATAGTATACTGTAGATATTGTTATTTCAGATGTGTATTCAAAGGGCAATAAATATAACTAGGCCTGCTTGTAACAGAATATAAATTCCTGCTCTGTTCAAAAGTCTGCAGCTTGAATGGTTAGAAATACTGTGATGATAATAGTAATTTATTAGGTATTACAAGCATTTATTTGGCACCTAAGTACAACGGAAATGGGTGCTTTAGATATATAATAAGAAGAACCTTAAATGGGTTCAAAATTAATAATAATTTGTAATAATTATAAATTATACTATGTGCATATGTTTGTAAATTATGGCTTCTGTGTATTTGACCCCGCAGATCTAGTGAGAAGGAAAAGGCCAGTTTTTGTAGGGTCCTCTAGTTCCGCAGCTAAAAAAAAGGAAGGAATTGACTAATGTATTCTGTAAGAGAATTTATTTCTCTGGGATCTTGTCACTTGCAGGGGTGCTGGAACAATTTGTATAGTGGGGGTGCTGAGAGCCATTTCACCAAACTGTAGACCCTGCATATGATGGAAACCACTTCAAGATGGGGTGCGGCAGTACCCCCAGCACCTCTAGTTCCAGCCCTTATGGTTACTTGTGCCTTTTAGGCACCTTTGGATAAATCCTATGGAAGGTAATAGAAAATTATAACATTTCAATTTTTGCACCGTGTTATTGAATTCAATAAAGAATTCTAATCCCCGCTATAATGTTTGATAGGATGATTAAAAAGCCTGCGAGAAGGAGATAATTCTCCATTAAATGCTATAGATTTTTTAGAGTTATTGGTATAGACACTGATTAGT